CGAAAATTCCAAAATGGAAAAAAAGTTACGAAGGCATATGACAAATATTTTATCTCTAAATTCTATATATAGAGATAAAATTTAAAAAATCACGAGAAGAAAAAAAAGACGATATTTCCTAAGAATTCACAATGAAGAACGTGGGTATTTTATTGTGAATATTTTATTTCAACAAAGTCTGCACATTCAATTAAAAGAATATTGCAAAGTGTTATGCATTTGCTTCATTCTTAAAAAAAAAAAAATTCAAAAAGGGAGAAATTATATAATAAGATTTTGGAGTTTTTCTCTCTATTTTATAATCAACTTTTTAAAAATTATTCCATTTTATTAAAATCTTTCTTTAAATTCCGATTTTAATGTCTTTATAGATATGGAAAATTTTAATTAACTCTTTTATTAGAGTATTAAAAATCATGCACATTGCTTCAAAACGCTAAACTATTATTTAATTGATATTTCCAATAAATGGTATTTTCAAAATAATTATTTCAGTCAAGCTCCCAGAGAAATAATTTTTTATTTTTTTTTTTAATAATAATTAACATTTGTCATAATAATTTGAACACTCAAATAAAATTTTTTTTGTTAATTTAAAAAAATCCGTTTCTTTGACTTGTTGGAGCCAAAAGTTTTGAACGTTCAAATGAACAAAATTTTTTTTTGCAACTTCTTTAAGTACGAATTTTATTACAAAATATTGTTTTAAATATCTAAAAATAAATTATTAATTTAATAATTGTTTAATTTACTGTTTTTTTTTTACATTGACATAATAATTTTTAATAATTTATAGAGTGAAAAAAATATTTCGTTCATATGAACGTTCAGAACTTTTGGCTCATTGACTTGTTTTGTTTCACAAATTTTTCCTTGAAAAGAATTTTTGATTCAAATATTTGGATCAAAAAAATTGTATTCTGCAATTCAAAGAAATTCTAGCATTCAAAGAAATTTTGTTTTTTCAGGGTGTCTACTAAAAATCTGCGAATTAAAATTCCAGGACTTTATCAGGACTTTCCAGGACAAATTTCTTATTTTTCCAGGACATTAAATTGAATGACTTTAAGGAATAAAATATTTTTAGTTTAACTATTGTTTTCAGAAATTATTAAAAAATTAATTAATTACTTAAGTAAATTTTCATTTTATTTAATGAATTTTTTTTAACTTTATTGACAAAATTATAAATTTTTGAAAATTTAAAAGCAAAATATAAAAAATTCAAGGACAAAAATTAAAATTTCAGGACTTTCAAGGACATTCCAGGACATTTTTTCAAATTCCAGGACATTTCCAGGATTTCCAGGACTAGTTGACACCCTGTTTTTAATTGAAAAATAAAAATTTCTTTGAAACAAAAACAAAAAAAAAAAAAATTTCTGAGTGTAATTTAAATGAAATGTAATTTTTAATTGAAGTTTATTCTAAAACAATGGTCAACTGAATTTATAGTAAAAAATTTTTTTTTAATAACACTGGTAATTAGAGACAAATAGTTTTTTTCTTTGCGTTTATTATTGACTGTAATTTAAATAAAAAATGTTTTAATTTGCTAACTTTTTTTTGGAGCATGTATTAATTTACAAAAGAATATGTGTCCAAGTTGAAACTTCAGGTTTTACTATATATATATATATATATATATTATTGTATTATACAATAAGGAAAGCTAATGACGTCATTCGAATCATAGTCTCAATCGATAGAGCTTTGTACATGCGTACGTTAAAAATGAAAGCATTTTATTAAACATATAATAAAGTCACTCAAAGTATTGTTATATATACGTCAATAAAAAAAAAAAGAAAAAAAAAAAAAAATTTCCCTCAAATATTATAAATTCCATTTTAATTTTGCAATTGTAATATAAATAAAAATACTCCGCGTGTAAAATAATCAGTTATAGTAAACGCAACATATAAAAATACACATCATTCATTGCAAGTTATTCTATTTCCACGTTACTCGTATCTATAAATTCAGAGAGTAGCTTTAGAAATAAGTTTCTGTCGCTTAAAAGAGCAGAATTTAAATATATATATACCCCTGCAGTTCTGGTATTTCGCTGTATTGTTTTCAAGTTCAACAATCTAAAGAGAGAGAAAATATGCTACAAATATTTTTCTATTTTTATAATAATATATAAATTTATAAAGTGTATACCTTAAGTTTCTTTATATAAACTCTAATTATATTTTCAAATAAAATATTTTATGTAAATAATATTTAATATTTATAGATTCTTTTAAATCTGTAAAAGTATATAAAATTTATATTACATTTTTTTTGAAAATACCATTATAATTGAAATTACAACCGAATCAAAGATTTAATTTTTTTTCACTTTCAAAAATGTTATTTTAAAACTTTTAAAAAGATTATAAAGTTGTCAGAAATGTGAGTCTAAATTTTTCTTCATTTTCAATTTATCAAGAGGAAACTCGAAATCATTTAGAATTCAATGAATTATAGAGAAAGAGAAACCCAATAGGAATTTTTTTTTTTCTCAAGCCTTCGTGTATAAAGGGTAAATGACATAGACATCATTCTCTCGTCAATGCTAGTTATCTTCCAATGTGCAATTGAGTCGAATAAAATGCCTATATAGTTCGACGTACGCTTTTCACTTTTATTTTTCGTTTTTTTTTTCTCTCACACTCTATAATATAATGTAAGTATAGAATTAACTATACGCAAACTGACATATCCCAATAATGTTAGTTTTATTTATGAAAACTTTTCTTTTGATGAAAAAATAAAATCCTTTCATAAAAATGATTTCCATACAAGAGAGTGTTATCAAAGATTTGAAATCGACATTGAATGGTTGAATCGAGTGTTATTCACCCTTTAAAAATCGATTGACAGTTTATTGTCTCTAGTTACATGTATAATATATAAAAATATATTATTTTTTTTTTTTTTTTTTTTGTTGATGGAAATTGAAGGTGAAAACAAAGTCGAGCAAACATAAAAGAAAAAGAAGTATACCTCATATATATAATACTACAATTAGTTCAGGTTTCCGTGTAATTTCTTTAGCTTTGAAAAGGTGATGTGATGGGGCTGGGGGAATTTCTGAGCGTGCAGAGAGGAGGCAGATAGGTGTAACATATAGAAAAATGTGGTATATAGAAAGATGCAAACTGGGCTGTACGGTTGGTGAGACAGGTGAAGTAAGGGACAACCCTAGAGAGAAAGAGAGAGACAGAGAGAGAGAGAAGCACAGGTATGGGACGTTATGTTATATATCGTTGAATATATATGTTATATAGGTGGACGATCATGTATACGAGGCGTACAGGTAAAAGAAACGTTACCATGGAAACGACCATGGCCACCCTCAATCAATAATTATGATGGGGTGTCGGTTCGGTCGGTGACGCAGGCAAAAGGCCCACGTGGTCCTATCGCCACGTGCAAGACCTCCATTTTTCTCTAACTGTTTCTCATGACGTAAATTATATACTTTAACGCAGATAGAGAGAGTGCGCGACAATAAATTGTCATTTCCAATCATTTCGTGATTCTTTCAATTTAATTAATACGTGTATATGAAAATAACAAAAATATCTTTAAATACAATGTGGAATTCAATCAATGGTTTCTTAATTATTCCAGACAAGCTAATATAATACTTATTTTAGGGGGGGGGCGATATTATTAAAGTATCACAATATGTCAAATACAGACAATTTAAATTGCTTTTACTGTTTCGTGAGATGTTATGATAAGATATATTTATTAATAATCATTGTTTAAATACAAAAATATAGAAATATTGTTAAAAAAAAAAAAAAATGCAGAAAAGTGGAAATAAAATCTTTTTTAATTTTAGAGTAAAATAAAATTATAACGATTTTGTATCCTATTTTTGAACATTCGATTGAATTATTTAAATAAAAATCGAGAAAATTGATTTAATAAATAAATCACGATTTTTTTTTCTGATAAGTTGTTTTAAAACGAGAAAAATCTGAAATTATATTTCTCAAGCGAGTTGATACTGAAACGAGAAGGAAAGAGGAGTTAAAAATTCAACGTCTAATATTGACTTGTCTTCCCTACTCTTTCTCTTTCTCTCTCTCTCTCTCTTAACTCGAGTGGAGTATATGACGGTTAACAAAACTTGCATAACATCTCCCAATTATCAAGTCAGACGTTGGGTTTGCATTTCGGATGTCATGAAAAAAAATTACGCGCAATCGGTAAATATAAGCTGATTCATTAAAAATTATAACGTGACTTCATATATATAAACTACGTTAATTAATCGTTATGTTAGTGACAAAACGTACTCAGTATTATGGTGATATTAACTTTCCTTTAGACATTAATTTTTTTTATCTTGTAATAAACTTTATAAAAGTAAATTTAACTTTAAAAAATTATTTTTAAAATTACTTTAATCTTTATTGTGTATAATTATAAAGCTCAATTTATTCCGTTTATAAAAATTAAAACAAATTATTATTGAATATATTTATAAAAGCAAAAAATAATATAATAATAATTTATACAAAATAAGTGAATTTTGTATTCTTTAAAATATTTTTAAATAACTGTATACATAAAAAAAATTAATCAACAAAATGAATTTATTGCTATTTTTCATTTTTAAAACAAGAAGAAAAGTTTTACCGTTTATATTTAAATATAATGATTATAAAACATTATTATTAGTTGAACATTTTAAAAAAGAAAACAATTGCGGAAGAGTTTTAAAAATAAATAAAGAATGTTAATTCCGTATAAAGAAAGAATCGCGACTGAATATCAATGAAAAAAAAAAATAGAGATAATAATCTATTCGAAGATCACGAGGTCTATAATAGTATCGATGAAAATTATAAGATGCAAACTTTTTATCCAATAATTTTTTGATTATTGGATAATCAAGAATCAATGATATTAATTATTTTTTCAATTTTAAAGAAACCTTAAAAACTAAAAATATGATAAATGTAGATTGTTTTATATATTCAGGTAAAACTTACCTTATGAAACTGTAGTTATCCTGAATTTTCTCAGCGTTTGCACGTTTCCCTCTTTTATCATTCCCTACGTCAATGACCAAAATAGTCGATAAGCCGCTTACAAGCACCGTCGTAATTCAATTATTTTCACTAATTTTTCATGAGACGTTGCCCTACTTTTCAGAATGGATGTTGCACAGCATTTTCATCTCACTAAAATCGACTCTTTTTTGTTTCTTTATCTGATAAAATTCCAATTCTTCCATCGTTTTCACTCAATCTTCCAAAATTCATTGTGTATTGTACAATCCTCAACTGATTCCTTGAAAAATAAGAAAACAAAAAAATCAGAACATTTTATAATAATAAAAAATATAAATATATATTTTAATTAAACAATCTGCAATTAAATATTACTAAAAAATATTTCTAAACAAATATGAAATTTATCGCATCTACAATTTAATTAGAATTGTTAAAAAAAATTTCTCTGAATTAAAATGCAAAATAATTTTTCTGTTGTATGAAAAATCTTTTCTGTGAATGTTTAGTATATAATTTTTAGAGAAAATAAGAGGGGGCAATATTTTCAAACTATAGAAATCAAACGAAATCGAGGGAAATAATTTCGTCAGAATACTGATTTACGTTAAAAAAAAAAAAAATAAATAAATAAAGGTAATATAATCGAGTCAACGTTTAGGTCATGTTATACACAATTTTGCATATCTTGTGGATTCTATATTGAATATATCTTTTGTATCGTAAGGTCAAACGATGTATTGTCATGAACCTGGTATTATATTATCCGTTGTGTAGGTCTAGGTTCTGTGAGATTCACTGATAAGCTGACATCTGATAAAAGTCTTAAAGTGTGTATACTGAAATCGCCTCAAGAATTGATAACTACAAGAAAATCACTTTATTCTTATATTAAAAAAAAAAAGAAGAAAAAATACGATGATCTTTAACAAAAATAACTTCGATGATTTGATGACTTTGCGCGTGCATAAAAATTACTTTAGTGTAATTGTTTCTAAATATTAACAATCGATTTATTTCTTCCTTAAATTATAATTTTCTTTTTACTAAATTTTTTTTTTTTTTTTAAATTAAATGATAAAAATGTCTATAGAAAATTATTTGAATTTCTATGCGTTATATCAAAGTTTTGTGTATGTGTGTGTGTTATTAAATCACATTCTGACCATGTAATTACAGCAGTCGAGATAATATCGTACATACCCTCGCCCTGTAATGTTGATTTGTGTAAAATCAATTTGAAAGTGCCTCAAGGAGAAAACGATTAGGATCCTATATCGATTTCAAGATCTAGGAAACTTGATGAAGTTTAAAATTTTGACACACTTAGGACAATGTATATATACTAAAGCAAAACAATGACTCTTAGAATTATATTCCATTTAAATAATTAATTACAGTCAATAAAATTTTAATCCCTAAATTAACGTATTCATTAGAATTCTTTTTTTTTCGCAAAATACTTTTTAAATTTCAATATAAAAAAAAAATTATTTTAACTGAATTCACATCTTACAAGTATATATAATTTGAACAAGAAAAGAACATTAAGATAAGAAAATTTAATTAATTAAAAAAACAAATGATACTACACTACATGAAAAAGATAATAAAGCAGTTTTTTGAAAACATAAACATTCATGTAATAATAATCCCAGCGAAATTTAATTCATTCTTCAAATAAAATATTTACCGCTAAATTTTACGCCTAATAGAAAAAAAATAACATGTATTTTCTTCATTACGGTAAATTAATAGTAATAATAATAAAAAAAAACTTGAGATTGAATTTTCACGTCAGAAAAACCTTGGATTGAAAAATTATTCAAGTGTTTTGAAAACAAGTAAACAGGATTACTTGCATTTACATAAAATGCGATTAATTTTCTACTTTACCGATTCAATAAGACATTCCAGATGGCGACATCATGCACACACATCTTGAATTTTTATTCAGAGAAAATAAAATAAATTTAAAAAATTAATTATCTTTCATTATTAATTAATCTTGTTATCATTTCTGTAAATTAACCGGAAACATATTATAAATTTTCAATTTCACTCGTTAATCACAAACAGAGAATTTAATGTATGTAAAAATATGTTGTCTTTATATTAAAAAAAAAAAAAAACATCTAAAAAAACAAGCAGTAACTTACAAAATGTTATCCTTAGTGCGAATAACAATTTTTATAACCTTGTATTGTTTACTTTTGTTATTATACAAAAAAAAAAATTTAGTTAAATAGAAAAATTAGTACACTCATGTGTATACGCGATACGAAGACTCAATTTTAATTGTTAGACAAAACCAAGTGCTAATAGTTATAAATTTTACAGAAATATTCCAGCTGTTTAAATTTACATATTATCATTATAGGTGTGCGTTAAGTTTTATAATATTGAGTAGATAATGACAGAAAATGAAAACAAGAATCTATGCTCTTTGAAAAATATATATAAAATAATAAAACGTAGATCAATTTTTGTCAATAAAAGTGTGAATAAATTTTATATTTTGTAAAAAATATACAAAATTTACTAAATTGATTTTACATAACCTACATTTTTTTAAATGAAAGTGATTTTGAAAAAATATAATAATTTTCTCTAGTGAATAATCTATAAACACAAAAAAAAATTTAATTGTTAAAATAAACAAAATCAACACTTGTGAAATAGAATAATACCTCAAGGATTACAGTAGCAATTGCTAATCAAAACAGTGAAAAGTATTTTACTAAATAATAAAACGAGATTCTTTACAGGGGCTTTTAAAATATTATTTTAGCAAATGAAACATTTGTAGGATAAGGATTTTAACAAGAATTGAATAGTCATATACACCAATCTTATCAGTTAAGTATTAATTATCAAGTCTTTCTACTTTAAATAAAAATCTTCAATAATAATGTCGTTTAAAATCCACCAAAAAGAAACTAACTATTGTCCCAATTAATGAAATAAATTATGAACAATATTTAAACTTTAAAAAAAAAATTAGAAACAAATAAAGAATGTAATCAGGGAGAGATCAGTTTAACTTGTTTTCAGTTATAAAAAAGATCTCAAAAAGATTGACATTGAAAGAAACGACAATAAAGAATAAGAATGTGAGACCAAGAATGAAAAAAAAAAGAAATGAATCTATTCAAAAAACATGATAATGTGAAGGAGGCGAGTTATATTTTTCTGGTTCGTATACCATTCAGAGTGCAAACAAGATCAATATATCTCGCATGACAACATAAGCACATCGATACATTTTTTGAAAAGAACAAGACTGAATATTACAAGAGTTGAGCTTTCTCTTGAAACATCGAACAGATGCAAATTGCGAACTCCGCCAGGGGGAAAAACAAGCGGGAGTGAAGCTGATTTTTTGCCAAAAACGAAACTCAATGTCATATGTAAACCGAAGGCCATGTACAACAGACGGACTGCACATTGTGCTTTAAGATTCAAATAGATAAACATGACAAGGAATTTTACTTACTTGTAAATTTATACCGGTTGAATATTACTTTTTGGTTGAGGTTCCTTTTTCGTTTCACGAATTATTTAACTTCGCACAGTAACATTATTGTACTAAAAAAAAAAAAAACCGAGCGAGCCTGATCAAAACCACAATTTTCGTGACGTCATCGGAGACAGACATGCGCAAACGTTTTTCGGTGATTTTCCATGTACCGAAAACCACGTGCAAAACAACTTCACTTTTCACGACACTACATTGCTAAAAAACCTAAAACATTATTGAATGAAAACTACTTGATTTTGGAGAAATTTCGTGCACTAATCGTAAAAACAACCACGATTGCCGACATCCATCCATCCACTCCCACTTGTTAAGTGACGTACACTGACGTCATCCATAGTTTACCTTGAAGCATGACATTGAATTCCAGTGCTGCCAACTGTATTTCATTAAATGCCCGCATTTTATTGGAATTAAGAAATTTTTCGAAAAACAATTGGAATTTCTATGAAAATGATTGATGAAAACAATCAATATGAATCAGCAATTTAAGAAAAAACACTTTTTATTGTTAAAGACTGACAACAAAGTGCTTTAAAAAGCAAATGAAAGTGACTGGAGTAGAAAAAAATGAAAGGCAATGTTCACGTGACTCAAACAATTTAACTGCAATAATTAAAGAATTTTTAAGAAACTGTTTTGAGAATAAGTAAAAAGAAAATTGAGACTAATAACTTTATAACGAAAAGATCATAATGTATGAACACGCATTTTCTGAAAAATGTAAATTTTTTTATCTAGTGACTTTTGGTGGTGACAAAAATGTAATTTTGGCGCTAGTTTTAAAACATTTAAAAGTTTCCAAAGGAAATTTTTTCATTAGCCAATCAAAAAGAAATTCGGAAGTAGTAGATGGCGTGGCGGTATTTGGCGCGAAAATTCAATTATTATTATGGTTTGCAGTTTTAATAAATGCGAATTTTTGCATTTAAATTGTATGAAAAATAATGCATTTTTACTATGATATGGCAGAGAATATATTAATCATAAACCCTAAAGACAAAAATATTGAAAATACAACGTACTTTTCTTTTAAAAAAGCAAATTTCTTTGAAAATAATATAATAATATGCTAGTTTACGTCGCGTCGGCAATGGTACCTCACTTCAGGTAGTTTCATTGACATAACAAAAGACGACGCGAAACAATTTTATAGTGACTTCATTTAATGCAAATGGATTAAAGTTTTTAATAAGAAAAAATGATTTCTGTCATTTAAGGACAAATTCCCTGTAATAAGTAAGTTAAATATGTAAATAAATTGTATTTTTAATTATGAAATTAGTTCATAAATTAGTGTTCTTTCATCGAACTTCAGAATTGTACAATTGTTTGCCAGTGTTGAAATATTTTATCATTTCGTGATGACTTTTATCATAAAAATGAAGTATTTACATAGAATAACCTGATTGTGACACTTTATCATCAATGATGACATGTACATTTCCTTATGAAGGACTGTAGAATCAAATATCTTGACGTGTCATTAGAATTTGTTTACACATAATTTAAATGAATTTTTATCCACTTAATAATTTTTTCTACATTTTAAATAAAAAATGTTAAATATTAAACATCGAACGATAAAATTTTAATTTTAATTTAACTGCCAAATGAATCAGGTGACCTACGCATATTTATGTTAATTGACAGAAATTAATGACATTTTTAAAAGAATTTTTATTCTTTTTTTTAATTTTTTAAATTGTAATATTTAAAATAAAATTTGTTATAAAATTATTCAACTGAATAGAGTAATGATAGATTATTAATTTTTTAGGTGCTGCTGTTTGCTTTATAATTATGGAAACTGCGGAAAATAATTCGAATAAGGAAGAAATTTCTTCGAAAAATTACAGAATTGACGGGCAAAGAAATAAAACGGATTTAATAGAAAAAACAATATTAGAGGAAAATGTCGAAAAGAAAATACTTTCTTTAAAGCATTTATTGGAAAAAGATCCAAAGTCTGCAGACCTTAAATGGTCTTTATTTATCGCAGCCAGTCATACTTATCGATATGACACTTGTCTCAAACCATTTCCTCCAATGTATATAAGGAAAGAATGCAAGGACATTGATGCTTTAGTAAATATAATTTTAATTTAACGAATAATTTAAGTGAACGAAATAATATTATGGAAAAAAAATAATATATATATATTTTTTTTAGAGAAAAACACTAGAAACAATTCCTCCTTTAAGTATAATTTATCATGAACTCAATGAGCCAAATGTTTATGAAAATTATGGTCCAGCTATAGATTTATTATATTGGTTATTAGTAAAATTACGAGATCCTCATATGAAAAGTGTTAGCAAAGAAAGTGTACGTATAAATGAATTTTCGAAAAATTAGTATTTAAAAAGTAATTAATTTTTTTGTTAAAAAAATTGGAGAAAATTTTTCTATTTATTTCTCTCTAATGGAAATTGCATTTTTTTTTCAGTTTGAAACAGTATTGAAGAAAGTCCCATCGGAAATGCAAGTAGCTCCACCAAATTTAATTTTCCAAATCGCTAGTATGAAACATTCCACATCAGAGGAAAAATGGCAAACAGCAGCCAGAGGTCATGCCACATTTTATGCCTATCATGGCAGTCGACTAGATAATTTTCATTCCATTTTACATTATGGTTTACAACAAAACATGTGCAAAGTAATGTAAAAAATATTAAAATTGAAAAAAAAATGTCATTAATTTCGAATCTATAATTTTATATCTTTCTTTTATTCTAGAATCCTCTGTTTGGCAATGGAATTTATTTATCCAGTGAATTAGGAGTCAGTTTACCATACAGTCCTGTTGGTTACGGCTGGGGTGGTAGTCTTCTTGGCAGCAAAATGAGTTGTGTTGCACTTTGTGAACTAATTAATCATCCTGGCGTAAAACGAGGAGATTCCGGTAATTAACGAAAATTTTACGTGAAAAAAACTATCTCTAAACGATTTAAAAAAAAATTTATACTTTCTTAATTAAAGCTGAGAAGGGAAGGAGTGTGATACCAGATGCTGTTGGTGGGAAGGTACCAAACAAATATTACGTAGTAACCAACAGTGATTTAGTTCGAATTCGCTATCTACTTGTCTACAGTCAAGAATTTAATTCGTCAAGGTAATATAGATTATTTGAAAACTAAAGATAAAAATTAAGTTTCAAAACTGTTTTTTTTCAGAGAGTCAAACAAAACAGGCGTGCTCGCATGGTTCCGAAAACACAAACTACTGACATTCGTACTTGGTTACGTCGTCTTATTAGCTTCTGTTGGTTTAACACATAATAAACATGTCGAAAAATATTTAAAATTATTTATACAAAGAGCAGGCTTCGAATAGGAAAATTATTTTTACCAAAATTTTTGTACTTAACGACTATTTACAATATAAATAAATATTACCGTTTTTTAAATACGCTCGATCACTTTCCTAACTATTAGTAAACTAATTAATTTTCTCAAACATATAATAAATCGAAGACTAGTAAATTGGAGAAAAAATTAATTGAAAACTCGACAATTGAATTAAATAATCGAAGACAACTAACGAAATTATTTTAATATTAAAAAAAATATTTATAAACAATTGCTAAAAAACTGACCAAAAGAAAAATCTCAAAGGGGAAAAATATAGAATGACAGATTCAAAATTTATCCTAGAAAAATATGTAAAATAGATAAATTAGAATTATTCTATATAACTACCAATATCCCTCAATGTTGACCATTTAGTTTCTCGTTAAAATAATTGGGAAGTTTTCAGTTACCAAATAATCGTCTTCGAACACGATAATAAGATTTACCTCAAATTCTGGAAAAATGAAGAATTCATTATCGCTATTCTTTGATAATTTTCACAGAATGAGGCAAAGTTCGATAACTTTCTATAATTTTCCACATTAAAATAATTTTCCTAATTTTGAAAGTTATCGCACTTTTACTGAATTCTATAATTTTAATTTTCTTACCAACTTTAAAATTACTTGTTGTAAGTGACGGACATGTAAAAAGACGTGGAAATATCATATAAATCGGTATTGGAAGACCAGTACAAACACTACCTTCACCAATTTGAATATTTTGTATTTCGGTAGCTAAAAATGATCCTATTTAATTCCTAAAACTTTTTTTTTTTTAAATTTTAAGTAGAAAATTTTTTACACTCACCATCCCTTGAATAACCTTCAGCACATCCACAAGTTTCTACCCTTACAAGTTGTAATTCTATGGATTTTATCACAGCTTCACAATGTTCAATATTTACCTGAAAACAAATTTTTAAATATAATAATTCAATTTTGTAAATAAATTTACAAATAAAAGTTTTTAATTCTAACCTCTCCTGTCAAAGGTTCAGATAATTTACAACTCAATGAATTTAATTTGCCAGAAATAAAGAATCGAGGTAAATTTGTTCTTTCTCTTGTATTATGAAGTGATTCTGGCATAATTTTAAATGGCACTGGTTTTATTTGCTCGTTAACCAATTTAGGACATAATTTATCCTCAACCATAAATTCTACTGATTTATTCACGTCTTTGGCAAGAAAACTTCTTTTAATATCACATCGAATCATATATTGAATATTCACAAATACTCCATGATATGTTTCATAAAGAGTTTTACTACCACGAGGCTTTAAGGGAAGATCAAAAGGTATTTCTGTTTTGCCACTAGGAATTTTTCCTGATGGAGCAACATCCAAAGTGTATTGCACAAGTTGTATTGGCTGAAATAAATAATTTTATAATAATTAACAATTGTTAATTACTGCTTTAATAATATTTTTGTCCAAATTAATTATATTATACCTTAACAGAATTGTAAAATGCCTCGAAGATGCCAACAGTTTTAGAACTGAGTTGCAAATTAACACAACCCTCCATTGTGAGAAAAATACCATCATGTTTGATATCTGAATTCGTTTGTATCAAAATTAAACCTGTAACACTTTCCTACAAAAAAAAAAAAAACAGAAACATTAAATAATTCACATTTTTAATAATACGAAAATTCAAAAACTAACCCCTTCATGATATATTTTACTGGCTCTTTTTAACCTAATATCAACACTGATCGACATAATGCTTTTAAAATTAACTTAAAAAATGTTAAAAGCAACGGAAAAACAATATATTATTCACAACAATAAGAGAATGAAATAGATAAATATGTATATGTCAAATTAACTAAACGTTAAAATTTCAGTGCACTTAACCTCTTCATTTTTTGAAACGTATTAAAAAATATATATATTAAACACAAATAGATTCTACAAAGACAAAATAATTACACACTGAATTTAATTTATCGAAATATCTTGATCTAAACACTACTTGCTAAATATTTTGAAATATATTTTCTTTGATTAAAAAAAGAAGTTATGTCGAATACACAAGACAAAATGAATGACTTTACCAAAACAATTAAATCTAACCAATCACTTTATGTCTTTTATGGAAACTAAAACTGTTTAACCAATCAAAATTTAATATTCTATTTGAATCGGTAAAAGTCGTGAAATTTCGGCAAATTTCGGTACTTACTTCCGGCGTGTCTCATTCCTCTTTCCCTCCACCCCAGTCACCCATCAGCAGTCAGCAACTAAACAAATTCAAACAGAGAGACGTTATTTGAGAAGTCCGTTATCTAAAATATCATTTGATATTTTCGGCTTCGTTTTAGGATCGCCTCTTGAGAAGTTTTGATTTTCACAAGAATAAAAATCACAATGGCATTGAGAAATCGTATTCCAGTTACGGTAAGTCTTAATAATTTCAAAAAATAAAGAAAAATGCTTTTCAATGGAAACAAGGGGGGGAACGCGTGACCGTTAAAGTGTCGTTTAAATGCCCTCTTTGTGATTTTTAATCAAAAAAACCACGCCACTTCTATTTTGATTTTATTTTTCTAATTAGACGAATTTTTTTTTAATTTTGTGGTTGACAGAAGATATATAGTTTCTTTGTTTTTTTTTCAATAAATTTTTATTAAAACGGAATTTGACTTATTTATGAAGTAAGGCTTGACAATAATGTCTGAATGTTTGCTTTTTCCAACGATGAAAAAAAAAACGAAAAAGGAAAAGAAAGTAATAGAATAATGTTTATTTTCTATTATTCAAATTTTCTTCTTTAAATTTATCACAAATTTATTCAAATTAAATTGTTTTAATAAATAATATGAATGAATTATTTTGTTTAGGGGAAAATGCTTCTATTTTCATTGACCTCACAGCTAGAGAAACAAACATCAAAATATTGACAAATTTTCTTTAATTTAAATATGAACATATTTATCTAATGAAAAATCATTCTTTAATGTTCATTTAACAAAAACAGTAAATGAAATATTATTTGTAAATTTTTCCTCTAAAAAATAACTATATATATATATTTTTTTTTTTAGAATATCCTTAACCAGGAGAACACGAAAAATGCTAAATCAACAGCAGTTGGTGTTCCAAAACCAACACGAAGACCAGCTTTGGGTGAAATTGGAAATAAAGTAACAATTCATCGGGGGGTTGATCAAATTCATAAATCAAGTTTGCTTGCTCAAAAGAAGCCAACATTAAAAGAACAATGCAATAAAGATTCGGAAAAATTATTAGACAAACTACCAATCCAAGTTGTTAAACCGGTGGTTAAAGTTGATGTTATCTCTGAAATAAAAAAAGAAGTTGAATTAAGGAAAGAAGTTGAATCTTTTTCATCCGACCTCTTAGAAGTAGAGGATATCGACGAGGATGACAAAGAGAATCCCATCCTAGTTTCAATTTACAGCAATGATATTTATGATTATCTAAGAAAATTAGAAAGGGAATATCCTTTGAAGAAAGGATTTTTGGCTGGACAGGAAGTTACACCAAAAATGAGGCTAGTTCTTGTCGACTGGCTAGTCGAAGTTCATCAACAATTTCGTTTGATGCAAGAAACTCTTTATCTAACTACATCTATCATTGATCGTTTTTTGCAGGTTTGTTTTCATTTTAAAAACAAAAATTAATATTCAAATTGTTATTTTGTAATATTAATGAAAATTAAATTTGTTTTTTTTTTTTTTTTTAGGCGTTCCGCTCGATAGATAAAAAAAGATTACAATTAGTAGGAGTCACCGCCATGTTCATAGCCAGTAAGTACGAAGAAATGTACTCTCCAGACATTAGTGATTTTGTTTATATCACTGATAATGCATATTCAAAAACGGAAATCCTTCAAATGGAAATGCTCATTGTTAGAACGTTAAATTACTCCTTCGGAAAACCACTACCACTTCATTTTTTGAGACGATACAGCAAAGCTGGAAAGGTAAAGTAAATTCAGTGTTTTTTAAATTTATTTTTAAATCAATATTTTAAAATAATTTAATTCTAATTTTTCAACATTTTCAGGCTCTTGGAATTCATCATACAATGGCAAAATATTTTTTGGAGCTCAGTATTGTTAATTATGAAACAAGCCACTATCATCCGAGTTTAATCGCGGCAGCAGCTATTTATCTATCATTCTTGTAAGTAGATTATTGCAATAACTGTTTGTTTTAAGTTGAAAATTTCTTTATAATTAATTTCCTTTAAAAATTTGAAAATTTCAGTGTTATTGGCAACGAAGAATGCGAAGAGGGCAAAGCGATTTGGACAACAACTTTGAGGTATTATACAACTTATAAAAGAGAAGAAGTTTTACCGGTAGTTCATGAGATTGCCTCAATTGTATTGGAAGCAGAAAAAAGCAAATATCAAGCTGTAAGAAAGAAGTATACACTAACAAAACATATGAGGGTTAGTTTACGAACGGAACTCAAATCGCCAACAATGATTGCATTGGCAAAGAAAAAACAGGCTTAAAAGTGTAATATATATATAATATACATATTGAATTGAGTTTAGTTTAAAAATTAATAATAATAAGGGAAACGACAGATCAACTCTTGTGAATTTAAAAGAGGGTAACGTTCAATACCTTAGTCTACATTTTCTCTGCATGCAAAATTGAACTATTCACGAAATTGTTTCGTTTGATGAAACAAGAATATATCGTGAAGAAAAATGTGAATTTTTTTTCCCCATAGTAGCTATTAGATGGAGAAAGGTGTATTTAGATTCCTACTTACAATGGATTTTTCGATAATTTGACATTTCAAAAACAAAAAAAAAAAACTGCGAAGCTGTTTGCTTTTTTAATATTTTCTATTTTGTTAGCCTAATGCATCGACGATTATGAAATTATATTTTACCTAATAACTATTTCTCAACTCAAATTTCATAAATTGTAGAAACATTTTTAAAAAAATAATACGAAATAGAAGAAAACTTGTGAATTTCTGTTCTTGTGGGAAATGTTTTTATAATACGTTTTCTTCTTAAGCGAAGATAACTTGAGTATTGTTTTTAATATATAACGTGCTAAAAAAAAAGGCAATTATGTGTGTTTGAGAAAAAAAAAATTAATAATCGATAGTCATTAATTAGAGTATCTGGCGTTTTGACGTGAGACACAATTTTTTTTTTTTTTAGATTCTTAATGATCTACATAGAAAAGTAATGACTTTAGTTTACTAACGTCGGTGATATGAGGCTAGAGACTGTGATCTATCGATGGATATTAACAATTTCGATTAAATTATTTTTTTTCTTTTCTTTTTTTTTTTTTTAATTTGGTACTATTAAAAGAAAATTAATTTTCATCTGTCGATAGTTTAAAACTCTCACTGCCCACAGCACGCAATTTTTGTTTATTTTATTTTTATATAGATATATATTGTATATTATCAAGGAAAAATAATAATAGGTTTTAAGAATGTGGCAATTATATATATACATTGCAACTTGAAAATAAATGAATGAATTTAAATTGAAGTTATGCCATGCGTTGTACGCTTTAAAAATTACAGATGAATTAAAAATGACAATTGTAAAATTGAAAAGGCATAAAAAAAAGAGAAAAATAACGAGAGGATACTAAATGTTAAACCGTTTCCTTTGATTTTCATCATAGTCAACTTTTCGTAATATTATCGACCGACTGACCTTTATAATATTCTAGGAATGAAATCATTTTGTAAATAAATTCATCATCTATCGACATTTTTCTTTGTTTAATTACCTTTCATAAAATTCTAATTATCGAAAAAAAAGGATCTAAGGATAGGACTTTGTCCAGGAATTAAAAAATTCTATTCTAATTTCAAAAAAAAGATCTAAAATCTGACAATTAGAAATAGAATTATCTAATTGTAATAGTCAAAAAATAGCATTATTTTATTTAAAAACTATTTTAAGAATAAATTCATTCTTTTATTTAAAAAAAAAAAAAATTTTACTTACTTTTAAGTTATAAAAAAGTTAAGTCATTTCTACTTTTTTCGATGTAAACATATCAAGTCCCAAAGAATTTGATTTGATTTCAGGAGGGTAAAATATTTTTGGCTCTGAAAGAAAGAAATTTTTAAATTACATTTTAAAATACATTCTTTTAAATATATTACCGTAAATTTGAAAAACTTACCAATTAAATTTTTCGGTAGTGGATTTTGCGAATTTTCCAAATCATCATTTGTCTGTGGAATAAAAGAAAATGCAATTAAAAGTATTGTTTTTTTTTACAATTTATAACAAAAATTCAATTAATTTAAATTTAGTTTATTATAACTACCATTCTCAGTCTTTCATCGATATCTTTTTTATTCCAAATTTCGTATTTTGCACGCTCAATCAAATTTAAGAACAAACAATAAACATTGTTCAATTCCTCTGCTAGTTTTTCATTATTGAAATTTAAAAGCATCTCTGCAACTAAGGACACTTCACCTAAAAAATAAATATAAAATAAAACTTATATTCAAAATATTTATTTTACTTTTAAAAAAAATTTACCTTTCTGTGCGTAAATCTTGATGATAATTTCATGTAAAGTTCGAAGTAAGGCCAAATCTTCAAAAATACTTCCTTCCTTTAAATTCAAAAGTTTACGCTCATGTTTTCTGCGATTTTTACTCGATTTATATGTTCTCCTAGAAAATTGTAACGTTAAAATAATTATTTTTAATTCAAATGAGACTTTTTAGGCACGTAACAATAAATAATTACCCCGAGGATCGAGAAGATTGAGATGTTCTCGTTACCGTTGAACCTGCAATACTTGAAGTTTCACTTATCAAATCGCTGAATCCCTGCGCAGAGTCTGGCTCATTATCAAAACGAATTTCGTTTTTTAATTGCATTTGTCTTTTATATTCGTCTGATCTGATAAAAGCTAATCGTGTTTTATATTTACAGAATTCTTCCCTGGTTTTTTCAATGTGCAAAATTAAATCTCTTCCATGCTCATGAACTCCAGGTTTTACATGCGTCTCTAAAAAAAAAGAAAATTAAAAATGTTAAATTAAAAAATAAAAAATACAAGAAAAAGATTTACTTCTTATAAAAATAATTAAACTCACCAATTAGATCCATCCGTTTCATACAATATGTTTCCTTCCAAGCATCACGCCACACTTTACCTTCACACAAAACAGCAACAGCATCTTCTGATTTATTCAAATGGTACATCAATACTTCTGCAGCTTCCTTGAATTTTTTATTTTCTCTTAAACGATTCACCAAATCTTCATAAATTTCATACGATTCCGATAAACTGAAATTATTAAAATAAAAATGAGAGCTTATAACATATAAAATATTTTTATTTTTGAAAAATAATAAAAAAAAAATTTTAAATTGGTGATACATACCTTAAATTCATTTTAACAACTGTGATGATAACTTCTTGATAGTTTCCAGCTAATTTGTGAGCATTTAATGCTTCCCTAAGGCACTCAGCTTTATGAAACATAATTGCAGCTTCTCGATATTTTGATTTACGTATAAAAAATTCTCCAAAAGATTTAGCAATTTCTCTATATTCTGTGCTTCGTGAATTAAATAAATTAAGAGCTTTCATATATAATTCATGTTTCTTAATAAATTCGAAACATTCCTCAAATTTATCATTCAATTTCACAATATGTTCTAATGCTTTATTATAACGTTTGAGATGCTTATCAATATTGAATTTCATATAATTTTCCTCGAGATTTTTTAAATGATTCAAAAATGGAACATATTCTTTTGGATCTTTTTGTGATTTTTGTGCAATAAACATTGTCAAATCAAAATCATACATTCCTAATGCCGTGTCAAATAAAACATTTACATCAACTAAATACAATAAATATTTCAAAGCTTCTTCTCCTGAAACACGTTCCTCTTCATTATTCATCGATAATTCATTATTTTTTATTTCTTTCAACTTTTTCAATGCATCCTCAAATGCAACAGTTTGTTGTTTTTTCACTAAACTTATTAAAATTGGTTGTATAAAACGATTTGAATCATGTCTTTCTTCCATTATATTTTTCAAAATATCACATATTTTGTCCACTTTGAATTTCACTTCAACTTCTATTTCTTTGTTTGAATTATTTTGCGATTTTTTATTTTGATAACTACTGGCATATGTTGTTTGTGTAACATCTTCTTCTTTCAATTCTGACAGAAATAAACTCAACCATGATGGATTATTGACATTATTAACAAATTGTATGGCATTTTCCAAAAATAAATTTGGATTGTGATCGTAAAGTAGATTTAAATTTATTCGTTGTTTTCTCATTAAATCAAAAGCTGCTTTGTAATTTAAATTATCAATATAAATGCCAATTATGTGTAGAGAAAGTGCTCTAGGTTGAATGCATTCTAAATTTCCACGTGGCATTTGTAAAATTGTTTGCGCATCTTTTGGAATTGCACGAACTAATAATGATCCTCGTTCAACACGTCTGATACTTAATTCTAGAAATAAAATTTAAATAAAAGATCACTTTTTCATGAGTAAATTTAATAAATGTCTTACCTGAATGTAATACTTCATTATTGCCATTCTCCCATGGTTTAAGTGTCAAATCATTTAAGACAATTTGTCCAATGCCTTTTTCATTTAGAGGAAAACATATTAGAGAATTTTGCAAAGTTGTAAGAAGTAAAAAGTCAGAATGTACATAAAATGAAGTGACATTATTACACACTTCTTTGCCATCGATAAAAAAACGATATTTTTGACTGAGAGAAATAATTAAATGTTTTTTTCCAATTTCTAGAATTTCAACTTTTTTACAAACGTCCAGTAAATTAATACCAATTGGAATAAATTCATTATTAATGTAACGTAAAACATTGCCATTGACAATAATGTAAGCTGAATTTATATCTGGAGAAGGAACAATATGTTGTATTGTTTCATCAAATGTTTTCACTTTCCTGTAATTATTTAATATTAATTTATTTCATTTTTAAGTAAATTTCAATAATTGTTTGTAAAAATTATCTCACTCTATGACAGCTTTATTGGCATCAGTGTTATTTAAATCCTCCAGGCGAATAATGCAAATTGAATTATTTGGTGCAGCGCATAAAATGCTATCCTCTTTAAACCACAAAAAATGATGAAGACTCATTGGGATATTTTTATTTAAAATATTCTCACTTTTCCATTCAATATCATAAGTTTTGACGAATTTATATTTTAGATATGATTCCTGTAAAATTATTGCAATAGAAAAAAGAAAATAATATTTAAAAAAAAGACAGTTTTTAAAAAATAATTACAAACTTACATTTGAATTCACATAAAGAGCCATTCGATAATCATCTAAAATGCAAATCAATGCATTTGAATTGATTGGTGAGTTCATTGTCGTTTCATGTGGAGCAAAAAGAATATTATTTATCATTCCATTGATTTCCAAATTTTCTTGACACATTGGCGGTGGTACAATTCCATCTTTAAAACTTGTTATCAAAGCTTTATCACCATCAATTACACCGACAATTGCCTTATCATTGGAATCCTGACCACGACTATAATTAACTGTCCAATGAAATGTATACGATATTAAATGCATTTCTGTTAAAACTATTAATTTATTGCCATTTTTTGAAGAACCACTCCACGTTACATGAAGTACTGATGTGTCTTTATTAAATTTAAGAACTTGCTTCAAGTACCAATGATAATTTCCCTCACACCATAATTGCAAAAGTGTTTCTTCAGTTTCTATATTTTTACACCAAATTACTAAAATTTCCGAATCATCCGACCAGAGTAAATTTTTAATCTACGAATAAAAAAGAAATTTAATTTTTCAATTAAACTTAAATAGAAAAGTGTTAGAATAACATTTAATTAAAATACATACCTTTAATTTGAGATTTGAAGGTAAAGTAAATTCCCTGTGTTTTAAACCATTTTTTTCAAATAAAGCCACAACATGTTTATTCGGTTGTTTTTGCGTGGTGGCAATTAAATTACCCGAAGGTTTCCAAGAGATATTTTCCTCTAAACCATCTAATAATTCACTCGTATATTGTAAAACATTTTCTCGATTATAAACTTTAAATTGTCGTGTTTTCGATTCATTATTAATAAAACTGACAGCAAACATTGTGCCATCACCACGCCAAGTTATTCTTGGTTTTCCATCATCAGTTTCTGATTTTGTGAAGACAGTTTGTTTTATTTTTGCAGCTGCTTTGCCCTCTGATCCATGAAATTGTGTCTCTTTTTTGCCCCAGCCAACAGTTACAAATTGTTTCTCGCCAAAATCCGAAGAAAATAAATCAACCTAACAAAGAATTTATAGATAAGAATGTATTATTTTTTTTTTAGAAAATTAATTAATAAACATTGTATATTACCTTTGACAATACTTCCAAAGATAAATCAATAGTAACAATATGTCCTTCTGTTGTGACAACGACAATAATATCCATATCAGGACTAACATTCATGCAATGTAAATCGACATTTAATTGTTCATAAAATAATAAATTTTCAGGATCAAGAATATCAAAACAAAACATATTTCCATTGTCAGTGGCATAATAAATTCTGTTCAAAAATGTGAACATGCCAATAATATCACCACAATGATTAGTATTTATAACATCTTCTGATTTTTTACTATCAGAAGGTATACGATAAAAATCTTCTTCTCCACTAATGTAAAAATCATCATTGTCTTGATCAATGCAAAAAGTATGATTGCACTCTAATGAGTCACGTTTTGTAAGTTCACGTATTTCCTGATTATAAAGAGTTAAATTCTTCATTTTGTTTTGCTTCCTTTTCTTCTCTTTTTTCTATATTTAAATTCTTTTAATTCATTTAGTATTAAACATTATTGTTACAACAATAAGAAAAACAACCGAAAACGCGCAGGAAAACACTAACACGTGTTCGAGGATTTAAAAAAAACTATACAAATAGATGGTCGACTTAATTACTTAAATTGTGAATAATGAGCGCCATTTGGTTGACGGAAATTATCCGAAGCTTAATTGACATATGAAACAAGCTTAATTTGTCCAGAGCAAATGGAGGGAGAATTGCGCAGAATCGTCTGCGCATTTTTGATGATATTTTTGAAAAAGTTAATATTTTTAAAAAATGTCAAAACATTTAAGGTGCTTATATACCTCAAATTTCGATCAGATGAACATTATTTCTGGACCGTGAAAATGCGTGAAAAGTCATTTTCATGGCGGGTATTTTTGAATTGTTTTATACAAAAAATGTTTTTTTAAGAAATATAATATTAAATAATTGTTTTAATATGTAAGAACACTTTAAAATAGTGATAGAGAGATGATTTGATTAAAAAATGTAGCAAATTTTGCTTTAAAACGTTTTCTGCTACAAGAAAGTGTAAAATGACGATGTTTGTGAAATGGTTTGTACAGTGTACATGTGTACATGTTTCTTTCAGTTATTCGAAACAATTAGTTGAATTTAAATTTATTTAATAAACATTTCAACTTACCGATTTATCTTGAGCACTCATTATTTATTACAAGTTAAAAAGAAACGACATAACATAAACAAAACTCTGAGAGACACTCACAAGGAAGAAGCACTGTACAAACCATTTCACAAACATCGTCATTTTACACTTTCTTGTAGCAGAAAACGTTTTAAAGCAAAATTTGCTACATTTTTTAATCAAATCATCTCTCTATCACTATTTTAAAGTGTTCTTACATATTAAAACAATTATTTAATATTATATTTCTTAAAAAAACATTTTTTGTTTAAAACAATTCAAAAATACCCGCCGTGAAAATGACTTTTCACGCATTTTCACGGTCCAGAAATAATGTTCATCTGATCGAAATTTGAGGTATATAAGCACCTTTAATTGACAATTTTTGCAAAAAAAAAAAGTATTTGGATTATTCAAAGTTGAGTGGAATTTAAACTTGTTTTTTGTAATAAAAGAATGGAAAAAGAATATCTTTTTTCTTAAAATAAAGTAATTACTGTATACACCCTGAAGAGGCGCTTTTTGTAAAAGTTTTTTGATATTCGAATACTTTCTTAGTAAACACTACGCGCTTCTCGGTGATGATGCTGATGCTGCGTAATGTCGCACGGGTTTTCCCAAAAGTTCGGAACTTAACAATTTTTTGACGTTTTATCGGAGGTGTTTTTTTTATATTTCTATTTGTTTTATATTTTACTTTAGAGTACATAGAATATCACGTTTTGGCTTATGATTCTGAGGAATTCATGTACATCCGGCCGTTTTAGGTTTGTACAAAATATTACAGCATCTGCCTAATAAAATATCAATAATTTCCAAACTCATTAATATAATTTGTTTTCTTTTTTTTTTTAAAAAAAAAAACATTTTATACTCTTTATATATTAAATATTCAAATATAAACATTTAAATATGTTAATTTACTTATTAAATTGTTTCTCGTCATGTAGTGTTTAATTTAATTTCATAAATGTCAAATTAATATTTATGTTTATTTTTATTGTAAGTCATTAGAACTTTTGTAAATTCTTCTCTACAGTGTACATTAATTTGTTAAAAAATAAAATAAATTAAGATTTTCCTAGTTATAACAAATTAATTTATTTTAAACAATTTGTTAAATTTTTGTGTTTATATGTTAAAAGTTATTTTTTATTATATGATGAATCATGTTTACTTTTTTTTTCCTACATTGTTTGTGATTTAAAGACATGAGATGAAGTGAGAAACATGTCATAAAAATCACAGTCCGTGTAACTTTCTTTTTAAGAAAATTTCTTTAAATTTAAAATAAATTAAACTCACGGTCTATTTCCTAGAGTGAAATTGACGCTGCATGACGAGTTTCTTATCTATTAATATGGTAATTGAACTTGGTAACTGCACTACAAATAAATATATTTTTCAATATATATATATATATAACTTGAATTTATCAATTATTGATATTTCTTTCAAGTATAGATATATTTTTTGCAAAATATAATGTATATGTATTTTAAATATTGTATTATTGAAGTAAATAACATTAAATGTAAATTATTAAGAAGAGAGAATTTGTAAATTTAAGTGTGAAATTAAATAAATGCAGACGCGGCAGACGGACCGAAAAAAATTGGATATGCTGGAAGTTGGTGTGAGAGTAGTTCGGGGTAAAGATTGGAAATGGAGCGATCAGGATGGAGGCGAAGGACACACGGGAACGGTGGTTGAAATTGGAAAACCATACGATGCAAATAGTGCATCGTCAACACCTGTAACTGGTGATAAAACACCTGATAAAACTGTAATCGTACAATGGGATCATGGACCAAGGAGTAATTATCGTATTGGTTATCAAGATGCATACGATTTGCTTCTCTATGATAATGCTCCAATTGGTGTTAAACATCCAAATATAATATGCGATGGATGTAAAAAACATGGAATTTTTGGAATGCGATGGAAGTGCGCACAATGTTTCGATTATGATTTATGTACACAGTGCTACATGGCAGACGTTCACGATTTAAATCACACATTTCAACGATTTCAAACAATTAATTCTGCTGGGTAAGCGATAGGTTTTTTTTTTGAAAACTAAAAAAAAATCTCAAATGTTGAAAATTAAATTGTTTTTCTAATTAATAAGGGTACAACTTCCTGTGAGAGAAGGCGGCACGAAAATAATGCTAAGAGGAATATTTATTGGAGCAAAAGTTAGCCGTGGAACAGACTGGGAATGGAGTAATCAAGATGGAGGTCGAGGTAATTGCCGAAAAAATTATTTTTTAATTTTTATTAAATTAGCAAAATTGTATGTAATTTTCTTGGAATAGGCAAAACGGGAAGAGTAATGGATATTCGAGGATGGGATAATGAAAGTAGTAGATCAGTGGCTACTGTAACATGGTCATCGGGAACTACAAATGTTTATCGAGTTGGTTATAAAGGATGTGTGGATCTTTGTTACGTAGAAGAGGCAACTGGTGGTGTTTATTACAAGGATCATTTACCACTTTTAGGACAGTCTGTACAGACAATTGAAAATCCCGTTACAAATGGTGATGCAACAACCTCGGAAAATCCGGGACCACGACATTTAACATTCCTCGTTGGTGACAAAGTAAAAGTAATGAAAGATATTAATACTCTCAAAACAATGCAAGAAGGTCATGGTGGATGGAATCCACGCATGGGAGATTATTTAGGACAGGTATTTTGATTTTTTTTCCCCCAAATTATTTTTGATATTCCACATATTTTATTATCTAACAAACCCCCCCCCTTTTTTTTTGGTAATTTTGAAAATTTAACGAGGAAAAAAAATTACAGGTTGGAGTGGTGCATCGAATTACAGATAAAGGAGATATCAGAGTTCAATATGAAGGCTGTAATAATCGATGGACTTTTCATCCGGCTGCATTGACAAAAATCATGACTAAGGATAATTTTTCCGTAGGCGATATAGTTAGAATAAAAAGTGATTCAGTAGCGGTTAAGAATTTTCAACGGGGTCATGGAGAATGGATAGATGTAATGAAGACTGTAAGTATTTATTTACTATTTTCGAAATGATTTTTTTAAAAAAAATAATCGATTTATTATCCAGGCACTCGGTAAAACCGGTAAAATAATAAAAATTTATCCTGATGGAGATATGAGGGTAGCTTTAGATGGACACATTTGGACATTCAATCCATTGAGTGTAATTCTCGTTAACACGAATTCAGAATTAGGGAATTCGGTTAAAGAAGAAGATCGTGATGGTGGTAAGATTTTTTTTCTTTTTTTTTTTCTTAATTTAATATTTAATTTCTTATTAAATTATTTTTTGCAGTTGTGAACAATGAATTTGATAGTGATATAGAAAAATTGTTACGCGAAACAGTAAGAGGTGAATCAGCATTGACTGCTGTTAGGGAATTTTTAAGAAAACATCCTGATAAAGTGGACGCTAGGGCTGGTGGTCCCGGTGGTGGAAGGAAAACTTGTTTGCAGGTAGCTGCGCATCAAGGACAGCGTGAATTGTGCATTCTTTTATTGGATGCTGGTGCTTCCCTTCACGCTGCCGATGAAGATGGAGACACACCTTTACATTATGCAGCGTTCGGGTAAAATAAAAAACAAAAACAATAAAAGAAAAATTAATTTTTTGAATGGCAAATGAAAAAGAAAATTTTGTTCCAACAGTGATCAGCCGGAAATAATGGAATTATTGTTGGGTCGTGGTGCGCTGATAAATGCGGTAAATAATGGAAAATGTAGCGCTCTTCACGTGGCAGTAAATAAACAAGCGCAATGTGTTCATACTTTATTGCGACATGGCTGTGATGTGAATCTTCAGGATTCTTATGGAGACACAGCATTACATGACGCTATTGGAAAAGATGTACTTGATATTACTGACGCTCTCTGTGCATGTGAGAGATTAAATTTCACACTTCGAAATAAACGGGGATTTAATGTCTTACACCATGCAGCACTCAAGGGAAATGCATAGTACGTTTCTTAAATTATTAGTAAAAAAAAAAAAAAAATTGAAAAATTGACTAACCTATTTTAAAATAAAAAAAATTTTCAGTGCCACAGAAAAAGTAGTGCTTCGTGCTCAGCATTTGGTTAATGTAAAGAAGGACGATGGTTTTGCGGCACTACATCTTGCAGCCTTAAATGGTCATCGTGAAGTTGCGGATATTCTCCTTTCTCCAACAGGTGGTCGAGCGAATGTCGGTTTGCGGAATAATCGACGTCAAACGCCTCTCCATCTGGCGACATCGCAAGGTCACTGGGCTCTGGTTGAGCTTCTTCTCAGTCACAAAGCAGATATTTCCGCTACCGATGAAGATGGTGACACAGCATTACATATCGCTATTAAAAAAAGTCGAAGTCAACCAACGGCGGTCACACCAGAAAGCTGTCGGGATTCTCCATTAACTTACGTAGTAAGTAAAAAAGCTATAAAAAAAAAAATTCCAAAAAAAAAGTTATTCAAATTAAATAATAATTGATTTATATAGATTTGGTTAAATTTGGCGAGACAAAATACAAAGACTGAATTTGCATTAGCTTGTTATTTAATCAGTCAAGACAGAAGTGGCGTTATATTGGAACAAGCGAAAAATTCCAAGGGTAAAACGCCCATTGAACTTCTACAGTCTGATGAAGATCCATCCATACCAGATGTTTTACGTTCTTATTATAATCAAACAAATAGTAATGTTCCGTCTCAGTAAGTATTTTTAATAATTTATTTTCTAAAATATCTAATCACATTTTCAGCCTTTGAAGAAAAAAAAAATATTTTGAATTAAACTCAACAATTTTTTCCAAAGTCAAGGAAATAATCCTGCGAGTAGTAATGAGAACTGTCCAACGAATAATCTCGAGTCTACAGGAGAAACTGATGTCACAAAAAAGTATCCTCGCACTTCCGGTGATGCTGACGAGTGTCGAAGTTGTCGTGGTACTCCAAAAAGAATTGCTCCAGGTGGCAGTGTCACAGGTGATGGTCTAAATATTTTTTAATTTTTTTTTCTCCTAAAAATCATTAAATACATAAATAAAAAAAAAAAATTATGTCAATATTCAAATTTAATTAAAATATCTTTCCATTTCACAGAGGGTGAAACGAAAGAAGGAAACGAAAGAAATGATGAAATAGAGAATAAACAGCAAGAGATTAAGGAAAATAGGGAAAAAGATAAAAATTTAGAACGTCTACGGTACTTAGAAACTAGAGTAGCTGACCTCGAGGAGGCACATATGTGCAGTATTTGCATGGAACGTCGACGCAATGTAGCTTTCTTATGTGGTCATGGAGCCTGCGAACATTGTGCAGCACCGTTAAAAACATGCCACATGTGTCGTCAAACAATTACCAAAAAAATAAATTTATATTAAATAATAAGATTATAAAAGGAAATTGGTCTTGCACGCGGTTCTAATCCGCAAAAAAAAAAAAAAATCTCATCTGCCAAATATATGTAATGTCGTCGTTTGTCGTTGCGTCGTCATCGTCGTCATTGTCGTAGCACAGTCACTCATGTCTCCCCGGTGTTACTCGTGATCGACAAAAAAAAAAAATTTGTTATTTATGTACCACATCGTGCCATAATGCAAATTAGAAAAGTCTGTAACGATAAATGCCTTTTTTAATTATATATATATATAATATAAAAAAAATAATTAATCGACGCTTTTTGGAAATATTTGAATCAACGCTTTTGCTCGCGTATTCCCGTCCATATTTTGTCCTCCCCCCTTCGTAAAAATAAATTTCATTTTTTTTTTAAAAAATGCTCTCCCCCTACACGACTGACCACTTTTTTAAGCAACAAAAATCAAATTCCAAAAAAGGACGAAAAATTTTACAATTTTACTATATATTTTTTTTTTTATTTTTTGTAACGAATTTTTAGATACGTTTTTTCTCTGTAAAATCACGATGCGCGTCTGTCTCATGCCAATACGCATAATAGTGACAAAAATAAAATTGATGATTCACTTTATCTGAATCGTCGGAATTGTAATTTTTATATAATAATAATAATAGTAGTTGTATTGTCGTTAAGTCTGTACTGTATATTGTACTACAGGAATGAATTAGGATAATAAACTATTTGTAGAGAGTAATTTAAAAAGCATTGGTATGATTCTACAATTGTACGTATAACGTAGGTGGTAATTTAAATAAAAACATTTTAAATTTAATCGACCTCAATTTTTGGTCCAATTTCTCCGTTACATTTCATGTCCACTTCCATTTTTGTGATTTTTTTTTCACGCACCGCTTATTTTTTACTCAAAAAGACATATTATATTATATTATCACATTGACAAAGCTAAAGAGAAAAAAAAAGAATAATATATGATTATGAAAAAAAAAACACGCGCGCACAAAAATGATAAACGGTTCCGAAATTTGCACGCAAACAATTTTTCTCCAACAACTAAAACATTTATATCAGAAATAGCTAAATATTTATCTAAAGCAGAGAAACTTATTGTATAACTAAACTAAAGTGATTCTGTTCTAGCTACTTTAGGCAAATGTTTTTTTTTTCATTTTTTTTTTTTTAGCTATTTTAGATAAATTATTTTGCGTGTATGAAAAAATAGTCTCCCGAGAAATTCGAGCAATTTTCATTTGAAACTAAGTAACAACAACAATAACACAAAGTGCACAACATATATAATGCCGCGTTCATTGACGTTATACGACAGTTTAAACGAAATCGCTGATGACTTTACTTGACTTAGCAAGCGATCATATTTATTTTGGTACTCGATAAGGTTCCATACTCATTATTTTACAATCTTGAGCCAGTTTGCAAAACTGTAATAGTACTTGTAATAATAATTAATAATAATAGTAATAATAATAATAATAATAATAATTTTTCTAAATAACCTAATAATAATACGCTTAAAGAGTGATATAATATTTAATATCTAATAAATTTAAATGGTATTGATATCACGGTCATATATCAAAACCATTTAAATTTATCTACACAAGACAGAGATCTTGAACTATGTTAAAAAAAAGAACAATCTTCTTTTTCTTCTTCTTCTTCTTCATTAACAACAAAAACAATCCCATTTATTCATATACATTATTTTAAACCAGTTTATATGCAAAAAATATTTTTAAAATATTTTCAAATAAATCATTTTCTCATTCTTTGTCCCCGTTTTTTTTTTTTAAATTTCTTTCTTTTAAACAGTTTTTGATCTCCATCCACGCGCTTGTTTCACAGTGAAATCGAACTAAAGAAAAACAACGTTCTTTCTCACTCAAATTTCTAATGTTTTGCTTCTAAAATATTGTTCATTACCCGAAGAATGACAAATTTTTTTCGCGCAAGAAAACCTTCATTTTATTAAAAAAAAAGAAATGGACAGCAACAAAAACAACGCAATTTAAAAAAAAGAAAGAAAAAAGCAAATTTACACTGGAACTTTAATTGAAAACATCATTATAGAATTCTCGTCTTTGAATCTGTCGACAAAAATATCCGTCAATTTATATTCTAAATTTTATTTTTTAGATTTAAGAAATTTCTCTTAAAACACAGACATATTGGGAGAAAATATCAAAAGTTAATTGAATTTCTATTCTTTTATTTTTATCCATAAGATATTGAAAATTCGTTAACATTATTGTACAAGACTTCAAAAATAAAAAATGTCAAAAAGTGTTCCGTCATCTGTATTTTTCCAGTGACAATTTTTTTTCTTTTTACTATACTATACATATTTTTCTAAACAAAATAAACTTTTTGCATTTAATATTTTGATGCCGTGTATTAAATGTGAAAAAATTTTCAAATTTCCTCTGCATAAATATAGAAGTAATAAAAATTTAAGATATTTGTTATTTATATTTCCAATTTTTGTCCACAAATTTTGAGAAAAACTTCTTTTAAATGGTCAATTTTGAGTCAGATTCAAAAAAAATAAATTCTGAAATGCTACAAATCGAGTTTCATTTGTTTTAGTATGATTAAATAGAAGTTTTATTAAATAATAATTTAATAGAATAAAAAATGTGTTTCATTATAAATTTCAATTAATTAGAAATTTTACGATATGAATTTCGAAATATTAAAAATTCAAGCTCATATTTTTTTTTTTTAGAAAATATTGATGCGTCACGTCCTTGTTTATTTAAATCTTTGCACTTTAAGAAAAATCAACTTTCAAATTCTCAATTATTGTCCCAGTGTAATTATTAAAATACATAATGGAAAAAAATTCTACCTTTCTGTTTACCGACGTAATTTCCATTCTTATTATATTTATATATTTTTATATATATATATATATATTTTTTTTTTGTTTGTTTTTCTTTGCAAAAGTCCAATAAACACTGTTGTAAAATAATTGGGTGATATTGCTTACAGCCAGATTTCGTGAAAAAACACGTTTTTAAACGGGGATAATAGACTAATTCATAAACTACTTATGATTTTAGCAGGATAATAATTAATAATGGCTGTAAACGTATTATGCGTCGATGGCGATTATAAATATCCGATCAATTCTCAATGAAAAAATTTTTCCAAATAATTGAGTCTTTGACATTTCAATAAATTGTATATGAATTATGATCGGTTCGATTCGACTTATTTTGAAATTATTATTTTTAAATGTAAATCAGTTATTTCTTTTCGATTCAATACGAGAGCATATATCTGAATCACTTGGTATATCAAAGTTCATGGGTTGAAGAAATCAATAAACTACTGCTTATTTTTTTTTTTTTTGCGCTTTCTAGTTCAAACGACTCTGCGAGAGGCCGATTTAAAATGAGAGAAAAAAAAAATTAAGCAACAACAGGCTCTGTATTGCAAGGCTGCAGATCATTCTCTGTTTGAGAATCATTGGCCGCTGAGCCACTGGAATTTGGCGATGCAGCTGGTGTATTTGGATCGTGATTTGGATCAGGATCCGGTGTAACTGCTGCCCATTGAGTTGTATATGGTGCTGCTCGAGCTAGTCTTCTGGCTTTTCTTTTTGCTCTTCGTTGCTCCATTACTAAACGTAAACGCCGTAATTTTCCCTTCGTCGTCTCGTTTTCCTTCGAGAGCTCTTCTACAAAAGATAAAATTTCAAAATTAGTGTTTCTCATTAGTATCAAATTTAAAATTTCACAAGTATCATTTTCATTTTATCCGATTAACATTTAATCTAATTTTACTTTGATTTTCCCTAATTAATTTATAAGTTGTATTACTCAAAAAAAAAAATTATGTTAAACGATAATTAGGTGAAACAATATAAATAATTGGGAAATTTCAGACAATCAGAAAATGATAATATTGTTCATTAATTCAGAAAAGTAGAACAAAATCATTAGAATTATTTTTTAAAAAAAATCGAATTGAACGTACCACTAGAATATCCAGGAGTAGGCGATTCAAGGCAAGCAGCTGTAGACATTCCATTACCAGCAACTGAGGAATTGGCAGAAAGTGCCGACGTGGAGGAAATTTGACGTGTGCTCGAATGCCTATGATGATGCCTATAATGTCCTGCAGTTGTTGCTGGTGTTGCGCAAAGAAGATCATTAAGAATATGAATGATAGTGCTAATATCTCGCTTTGGTCGACCATGACGATCTTGTAAAGCTGGATTTAAAGTTCCACTAAATGTTCCCGAATAAACACCCTTTCCATGATGATGCATACTTTGTATTATCGCACCTTGTCTACGTCTTGCATTTTCCTGAAGAATTCAAAATTTATTGTCAATTTTTCATTTTCAAGATAATTAATTTCTATTATATTTCACCAAATTTCTAAAAAAAAAAACAAAATTCCAATCTAATCGAATTTATATGTCTTTAAATTATTATTTAACTGAACTCATATTTTAACAGAACGTATTTTCATTTAGCTCAATTCTTTTGTAAAATACGATCGAATGTTCATCTAAATAAATATTTAAATAAAAATTCTCTTAATTATAAATTCTGTCAAATTTTCAACCAAGATTTGTGAAAGATATACAAAATTTGAAAATATTACTGGCAATAATTTTAATTAATAACAAATATTAAAACGAAAAAAAAATTAAAATAAATTTAAGAAATAAAATGTTTAACATAAAAATAAGCGTGCAAAATGGGAACGGTTAAATATATAATTTATCCTTGTAAAAAAATTTAGTTTTTATTTCTATTCTATTAATTTATATATCAAATGTTCTGATTTATTTTTCTAATTTAAATTTTTCGACAAGAAATAAAAAGAGAATATTTAAACGATCCCGTTTTTGTTATAAATATAAAATGATAACACAGGAGAGCTTGCTTCGGTAAATCTACCTCTGCGAGGTCAACCCGTGAGGTAAATACCTCAGAGGATAGCTGCTTAAGCTTTTGCGTTAAATTACGAGAAGCTTCCGCAAGAGCTCGCGTGTCCAATGTTGCCGATGTTCCTTTGCCAACATCAACAATTCCCATCGATGACTCAGTACTCGATGTCAAACAATGTTCCTCATTTGATGGACTGCGAGAACTAATTGAACTACTTCCAGTTGTAGTTTGTTGATGATGATGATGATGACCAGTGCACAATTTTTTCTTTGCCGGTGTTGTGTCACAATCCTCATCTCTTGATGAAAGATCAGTGACATTTGAGGTAGATGGAAATAATTCAACCGAAGTGGAATTTGGTGTGCGAATATTTAAAGAATTGCTTTTTCTCGTGTGATGATGATGATGGTGATGATGGTGATGATGATGATGTGTATGATGGTGATGATGGTGATGTAAGAGGCAGGATTGGCGAGGTGATGTTGCATTGGTACCATTTGGTTGAGGTGAAGTTGGTGTGCTACGTGATGATTGAACGGGTGATGATGTTTGAGAAGGATGTGAAACAGGAGATGATGATGACGAAGAAGAAGTAGATGATGGAGAAGAAGTAGTCGGTGAAGGCGATGCTCGTTCGGAACAATTTGTTGTTGTTGTTGCCGTAAAGAGACTTGTATTGCAATTGGCAGAAGTTAAGCTACTAATTAATGAAGAGGTCCTTGCTGTTGTATTTTGAAGTTTTGTCGATGAGCTTGTTGAACGAGCCGAGAGAACAGTTGATCTTCGATTCGATAATGGTGTCGTGACATGATTCGTCATCGTTCCCATTGAAGTTGAATTGAGATTACTTCCCGATGATGAGGTCGTTCCACTGCTCGTTGGACTAGTGGATCTGATAACAGGAGATGCTGGTGTCACAGTTGATAATTGAAGCTGAATCAGCATCATATGGTCCCCAAGGCGCATCGTTAGATTAAGTGGCGCTTTACCCGAAAGAAAATCATTAACTTGCGAGTCGCTTAAACTTTCCAAGGCTTGCATCACACTTTGCTCTGGGCGTTGTGCCTGAAAAAAAAAATTATTTATGTGAAAAAATAAATTTTTAAATAAATGAAAGCTTTTGGGATGGAAATTGAATTTGAAAAGTGTCAGATGAAACGTGATTGCACGGATATTGCACGTGTAAAGATAAGGGAAATCGATAAGAGCCCCGGCCAAGAGATAGAAACGCAAGAAGACCTGCAGCGGAAGAGGAAACCTCGCGGAATCGAAGCCCAGAACCCTCAACACCGGTAGGTGGTCCCAACCCACTCTTTCAACAAACACCTAACGGACTTCTTTCGTTAAAAAAAAAAATCACTAATATTTATGTGGATTCGGTAATTCAATTTATTTATATTTCCTTGAGATTAATAAAATCAATGTAATGAAAATTTAAATAATAAACAGAAGAAAAATTTTAAAATAATTTAATCGAGTAAAAAAAAAGGAAAATCGAAATTAGATTTATATTAGGAAAATGAAAGTGATGAGTTTTGGATGTGAAGAAAAGCTCTTTTCCTGGGGTTTATCGACTAGCGTGCACACACAGCATCCAAAGATCTGAGTTGAATGTCTGTGGACGTAGGTGGCGCCAGAGATGCAATGCAACCTGCTTCTAACCGCATCCGATGGGTGAAGTGACCCACGTGTCACGTCCCCGGTATAAATGAGAAGGGGGGAGGGGAGAGGTACACCACCACAAATGCAAGAGGCAAGCAAAGTAGTAGAGAAGATAAGTAAGTGTGTAAGCTGGCAGGCAACCAGGCGAGCGAACTCGGACCTACGCCTTTTCGCCCTCACCCTCCCACATTATATATATATATATTATATGCGTACACGTGTGAGCTCACAACGTTCACACGAGTGTTTCAGCCTCTGGCATATATAGTTTGTACAAGTATTGGGTTTTTACTGTGGGGCATATATGCATAGTTATCCCTCTATATACAGCTGCATGGAGAGCAAAGCCATGGTCCCTCGTTGGTCGTTTAAAACTTCCATAATACCTACTCTAACTCCCGAGGTTCTGCCTCTCTTTTCAGCTAGCTATAAGGGTATATACATATATATATATATATGACTCCTCTACCAACAACATTTGATGACTATGCTTTGCCGGCGACCGCATTTGGCTTCAACGAAGGCTACGGCCTCATAGGCCGCCATTGTCGATGCCGAATTTCCTGGACAAGTCATGCCACAGAGAGACACACGCTAAGCTTCGTTGCCAATCTCGATCGTTTCGCTTCGTTGAATTGACCGATAATATTCGCGCATGGTTACGTCCCTTTGTTACCCAGCAAACTCTGATTCGCAGTTTCCTCAATGACATAAAAAAAAAAAGAATCATACATAATTTCCCCTTTTGTTTTATAGGAAAAAAAAATTAACAGAATGATCAAGAAAAAAAATCGAAAATCAATGATTATTAATTGGATTCGATAAAAGACCTTGCTCTAAAAAAAAAAAGAAAACGATAAATAGCGCTTCGAAAAATAAATTTTGAAGGCTCCATATGTTGGATCAGATAAAATTTCCAGAAAAAAAAGCAAAGAAATGGTTATCGTGTTGTATGTGAACGATAAACGGTATCAAGATACATCACTTGGCCTCAATAATTTGGAGAAACGAAAAAAATTTTTCCCGTTTAAAAAACTAAATACTTTTTTTTCATTGATGGATTATGTAACAATTTATTTACATAGAAATAATAAAAATGAAGAAATAATCTATTTTTTGTCATCTCAAATATTTCATCAAGATGAAATAGTTCAAGGATAATAAACAAGGATAATCAAAAAAAGTTTTCAAGACTCCGATCGGTGACATTCATCTTATGCAATGACCTTGCAAATGATCGTTTATAGTTTTCAAATGATTGAAATAAACAGAATTTTGAATTAAGAAACTAAACATTTTTTTCATATTTTTCAATTTCGAAACGAAATTTGAATATAAATACAAAAATGAGTTCATTAACCCTTAAAGTAATATTTTTTTTGAGAAAGAAATCTGGTGTAGGATTACACCATGATAAGAAGAAAAAGAAACAAAGGATATTGAGAAATCAGAACTAACTAAAATCCAATGTCTGAGAAAAGAGTGGGAGGGGGTGGAAGGAAGATAACAAAAGGAATTTTACTGATCGTGTTGCAGGTGAGAAAAGGAGCTTCCGGCCTGAAATTTTAGGCACGCGTGTGCAGAAAGACGAGCCTTGTGCCAGTAGTGGAGTTTCGATCGAATCCGAGAGGCGTTGCGTTGGTATGTACGAAGGCGCTTTAAAATTGACTGCGGAGAGTCCGGGCGGGCGGTTCGCTTGACAGCTATGCGAACCAGCCTCGTCGGCTGCGATAAGGACCGTGAGCGCTGTTGCCAGCTCTGCTTCGTCAATTTCGGAACACACCCTTTATATACACACGAAATATTCTCCCTTTAAAACCAAGTCGTCGTCGTTGTTGTTGTCGTCATCATCATCATCATAATATCGCCACGCAGGAAAAAAGAAGCCATCAGATGAAACGGATTTAAAACCATCGTCAGCTGATTCCAAACACGCTGGCAACATATGATCATTTATTTTTAATACAAACTGAAAATCATGATATTAAATCAATTTTGAAGAAATAAGACAGGAAAACGAAACAACAAAAAAAATGTGAAATACTTTTCTGTTTCCAAAGATGGCAATTAAAGAGACTTGAAAGATGACCGAGAAACCAAGTGACCTGACGAAGCAGCTCGTGCACCAGAGTTAACGGAGTTTATATTCAGAGCGCTTGTTCTCTTGTAAGAGTATATTGCGCCTATTCCATCGTCTTTGCGGAACCTTTATACATCAGGATAGACTACCGTTCGGTGAACGTCACCGATTTCACGTAATCTTCAAACGGTAATTAAAAATCAAGTGGGACTGAAAAACAACGGGAGAGAAAGAAAAGAGAGGACACGTTGCATAAAAAAAAAAAAACACACGGAACTGTCTGAATAAAATATATGTTAAAGTCACTTACCAATAATCCAGTTTCTACACTTGGCAACAATGTCAATCGGCTACCATCCTGAAGACGATTTTCATCCAATGTTCCCTCTCGTAATTGCCTAAAAAAATAATTTTCAATTAATATAATAATAATTTATCAAAAATTGTAAAAAGATTTAAGTTTTTAAAAGAAAAATATATTTTTTATTTTTGTATATCCCAAAAGTTTAATCTCAAAGAGAAAAAAAACCTAAGTCAATATAATTCAGAGCAAGGCAAAGACCTTCGAGAGATATAATATCTCTTATAGGAAAAGACACAAGAAAAAGCCACTAATAATATAAAAGGAAGAAAGAAAAATTATCAATGATCTTTAGTTTTGATAAAAGATTAGTTTTCAGGAAAACTTTAACCACCGTTTCATTAAAACGGTCTTTAGACGATTGATTATTGGTTTCTTTTCTCAATGAACTCAATCATGCGTATAACGTCTCCAAGTTCCGTTGTTTCAAAAAAAAAAAATCGATTACTTTAATAAATCCATCCATTTTCCTAATTTGTGTGAACCGTGAAAAATTTAATATAATTTTTTTTCAGTATAAACGAAGGTGCAATCTCTCTTTGAAAGGTAATGAAGTTTCAATCTAGAAATAAAATTTGCATAGGTATTGCCACTCTCGTTCCCAGAGAGAGAAAGAGAGAGAGAGACCCAAGGATTTTAACGATAAACTAAGTTGTTCCCAGCTTGAGAAATCGAATTCGTTTTCTTAATGAAAAATTTACATGTCTTTCTTCTTATAGTTGGTGGAAGTATATATATAGAGGTACTACAACTTCATCTGCATTCCTTTATGCAAAGAAATGGACATTTAACACATTCTATCCAGCAGATGCTTCTTGGATCAGTATATATATATACGTGGGAATCGAGTTAGACTTCCTACCCCGTTTTTTTTTCTCTCTCTCTCTCAAAGAGAGGAGACCCTATCCAAAAATATTAAACTAGTCTTCACCTGGTACTTTTCATTTCAACCCTAAATACTCAATAAATCGATAAATCTGACAAAATTCTAATTCGGAATTTTCCAATTTCTTTCCGATCTGCATAATTTTAAAATATAAAATTTTTTTTGAATTTTAATTATTCAAAATTGAATCAAATGATATATTTAATTATATAATATGAAAAATAGTGATAGAGAAATTCAATTTTAAAAGTAGAATGTTTTTTCAATTTTTAAAAATATATATATTTTTTTTTAGTATTTTAAACACACTGAGTGACAACGGTAACCCAACAACTGATTACCGCACAAAGAATGTGTAGATAAAACATTCGTTGTAAAAGACTGAACTAACAAAGCGACAGTCACTGACAAAAGGGGGATATTCTCAAGTTTCATATATATGCAACTTTATAAAAAAAAATTTTCAAGCAACTCGAGTGCATTAAGTGCATTTATTGGAATAATATTAAAAAAAAATTCTTTAAATTAAAATTGAATAGAGAAAATTATTAATTTCTATAAAAGAAACTTTAAATCAAATAAATAGAGAAAAATTTTTTCATGTAAAATTAATACATACAAGAACGAAGAATTTTAAAATATATTTGATAATGGAAATTTTGTATATATAGGTGTGACTATTTTTTTTTTTTAAATTATTAATATGCTCTGTTGTATACAAGGCGAACTCCTTTTTCGCCTCCCTCAGCTTTCAAAATGGTGGGATGTTTAAGCCTTCAATTTCTAAAGTCACAAACTCCCTAGCATCAAGAATCCTACTGTCAATTTCTTTGCTGACGCCCGCGCACACTTTCGGTTTATATACACTAAAAGTCATTTGGTCAGCGCTTTAACTAATAATAATAATATTAAGCGTGCGGTGCATTTATAGATTATTTATCGTCAATAATTCACAATGAGTAAATCTTCATTATTTTATAAATGCTACAAAAAATTTTAATTGCAAAACTTAAATATTTTCCAAAAATCAATTCTAAAAAAAATTCAAATGGAAAATTTAAAAAAAAAAATGTATAATAAATAAAATATTGCAGTCAATAATTTAGCCAAGTGGTTTAAAATATGACGTGAAAAATATCTTTTTTCTGTATTTTTAAATATATATGTAATTTTCAACCTGTGTGTGCAATAATATTTGATTAATAACAAACAATTATAAAAAAAAAAAATGATGTACACTTCAGTGTACACTCCTTTTCTGACGTATTTATATCGCACATAATGTTCTCAATACTTATATGCAGTGCGCGTGCATTAAAATCGCATTCGTAAGCAAAACCATCGCGTTAAAACGCAAAAGCAAGCGCGAGCAAAAACAGACAAGCACGTGTGCATATTTTTTTTTTAAAAGAACGTTTCTCTCTTTCTCTTTCTCAGTGTAAAAGCTTATACACCCACTTAAACAAAGTTCGATGTCACAATGTCCTTCGTTCGACTCGCAAAATTACAAAAAAAAAAAACTGACGAAAATTTATTTTAAAAAAAAAATTTTTTGAAGTAAAAATATTGTAAAAGGTGTAAAAAAAATGCAATGTAAAAAATGAAAAACAATTTTTTATAATTAAATTTAAAACCACAAATGAAGGTTTTTAGAATTATTTCAGATAATATTTCAAAGAATAATTATAAATATATATAAAAAGTTATTTATACTTATTTATATATTTATTTTTATGAATATCAATTTTTTTTTATGCAAAATAAGTAGGGATTTCTTTTTGTTGAAAAAAAAAATCTCCATATAAACTTTTAATAAATTTTTAAAGTTCAACAACATAGCTACATGGGACCCCAATGTTTCCGGTTTCATTGCCGGAAAAGAAAACTAGCGGTTCGTTACGGTTCGTTATTTTCGAAGGGCCCTTCTCTCTCTCTATATATATATATATGTAGATAAATCGAGAAAATCGCGTAAAAAGTGACAATGATCGTTTGAGTCATTTAGATTCGTAAATGCACATATACGTATACACAATGTTTTCACTTCTCTCTATGCGGCGTGGATTGCTCACGCAATTATTTTCAAAGCGGGAAATTTCCTTTCCGGCGCAAAATCAAATTAATTTCAAAGTTTCATGAATTCGTTCCCTAACAAATTAATTCGACATTAAATTGCATTTTTGTCATTCGATAAAAAAAAAAAAAAAATTTTATTGATTAATTTTGACTAAAATTTAATTTAATTTCTAAAAATTTCTAAAAATTACTCTACTTCCGCAAACAATGAAATTGTTTCGCTAATTAATTGTTTGCAAATTTCATCGCTTTTTTAATATAATTTGCAAATTTGTAATTTATTGGTTTCTTATACGAAATATATATTTTGTATTCCAAGATAGAAATCACAGAGAAGTTCACCTTGGCAACAATTTTCATTTGAGAAAATATATACGATGAAACATTATTTGCCGTCGCATGGATGATTCCATGAGGAGATTTGAAGGGGGGAAAATGAATATATAGGTGGGTTTCTTTGCAAGATAAAGTCGTCTGCTGAGAGGCACTTTTTTTTAATGTTCAATTTCATATATATATAATATATAGATTGGAAAGAGTAGACCTTTGGAATGAAAAAATTTGAAAGAACGCTTTCCTTTGTAGCCCATAGTAATGGAAACCATATCAGAAATATACCCACAATTTCCTTAGGGCCATGGTAACGGGAATGTAACCGTAAATCCAAGGTGCGACCATCATTTACGAACCGACCACCATCACCAGTTTGAATTCATCCCAAAGAGAATTTCAACGAGATTATCTTTTTGAAGAATGCGCATCATATTTATGAATATTATATTAGTCAATCCCCTAATAGTGATTTGTGCCACGAAAAATCATTTGTTGTTTCAAGAGAGGATTTTCACGGTCTTAAAATTGCAAAATTATTTTTCAAAATAAGAAATTTCTAAATAATTATCCCGTCGAGTTTTAGAAATACTTATATATTTCTTTTACACGGATCATTTGAAAGAAATATTTAAAAATCAATTTTCGAAAAATTATCCTAATGTTCAATGCAATAAATGTCTGTTATACTCATATATAATATTTATATAAAAACTAATTTGAATTTTATTATATTTAATTTTTCAAAAATGCATTTTGAAAATACATATTTCTTTTTAACGCCCATGGAGAGAGAGACTATTTTGTAATGAAAAACAGAATTATGTAAATAATAGGCTTTCTGCAGAAACGAATTCTTGATAATAAATATTATATGGGAATTAACACTGAAGAATCTAAAAATTGTTTCCAGACCTCGAAATACGTTTAAGAAAATAAAAATTCAAATTATTTCCCAACATTTGACCTTCAACTTCAAGAAAACCTTGAAATGAATATTTATTAAAATTCCCATTAATTCAATATTAGTTTCAAAACAACAAAAATCAATGCACATATTTTAAATTCATTTTCCGAATTATATAAATTAAAAAAAAATTTTTTTTCTTAGATGAATATCGATCCATCAAAATTCTCTATTAATTTCTTACTCAAGTAAAGATATATATATATATATATTTTATTTGACCCAATAGAAAAAGAGACCCCTATATTCATTTTTGACGAGGAACATTTGAAAAATCCTATGACTATGTCTGTAACACGTGCAAATGCTTTTAATCTCATACACAGTACAGGGTCGTCGTGAAAGGTGCTCGTAAATAAAAATCAACTCTCTCAGGTACGTATTTTCGACCCATGGCAAGAATACACCTATATAACATAAGCCAAAGAAATTCTGAACGTTAGGAGGACCATAATGCACTGTATTGAATTACAGAATACACATTAAGCTGAAGATTATAGTAGAATCCATTTCGAAAAAAAGATGTTCATCAAGTCTTTAAAAATATCACCTTGTATAACATCCAAATTATTCCTTGTAATTCATCTATTGAAATGAGTTTTTTTTTTAAACACACTTTGTAAAAATTAAATACGAAGCTGAAGTACGCAACGTTTATGATAAACTATTTTTAAAGAAATAATTTTTTGCCTAAAAAATATTTTTTTATAATTTGTTGATTAATGAAAACTACAAGAAATATTTTTTAAGGAAAATTATAGAATTTTTCATTTTAAAA